ACAAAACATGGTTCCTCTTGAGAATCAGATCAGCGTCTCCCAGACTGACAGGTAGCATAGAATTCTGTCTTCCTTGATATGTATTCATGGTACTCCTCCATGCTCACTTCCATTCTGCGAATTTCTTCCTCATAGTCTTCAAGAATTACCTCATTCTTCACAAATATTACCTCCATCTCTGTGAAATGAACAAAAGAATATTAAAAAATATGTTTATATGAATTATGTAATTCATCTTTGACCTGGGTATGTGGGTTTAAAGAGCTTTCAGTCCTAATTTCTTAATATTGTTTGTTTTATAAAAAATCTTCCACTGGTTGTTACAGCATGCCATAAACTGATTTAGTCTCATCCCACATATCAAGCAGCACTGATATGTAGGAAAATGTTGTGTTCACTTTAATAGTGTTAAATATCACTGCAAATAGATGGATCTGCCAGTTCTTAGCCACAAAGGAGTCAATTGTGACCTCACCTGATTTTACCCTTCTTTGAGTTTGCCTCTTTTTTTTTTTTTTTTTTTTTTTTTACCAATGCAATCAATTTTGATACTGTTATTCCTATTATAAACATTATAAGTATTACAGTGTTATTGACATCACTAGCAGCAGAATTAAATACCAGAAAATATTACCAAACATCAACAAAAAGGTGAGACAGGTAGTTCTCGTCATTGACTAATTGGTGACTTAGTACTTGTGGAGCCATCTATGAGTAAGAATACATGTCATCCCAGTGGCATGTGGTTAACCATAGAGAACCAAGCCTCCCTGATAATAATTCATCTGACAAACCTTGTTTTTAAAGTCAGGATGAAAAAAAGATGAAAAGAGAAAAAAAGAAAAATAAAGGAAAGAAAAGAAAAGGAAAAAAAAATAAAAATGCAGCAATTTGAATGGAAATGAATGACTCCACAATAAAAGTGCTTAGTGCTCCAGATGAAGTACTATGAAAATCCAAATTTTGTTTGGAAGTACCAGAGTTCTAAATCAAATAACAACTATGGTTTCTTCCAGAATGATGAAGACATTGCTGTGGGAATTATCTTTTAGGTTTATAGCCCATGCATTTCTTCTTGCTCCAGCCTAGATGAGTTTTGTCTCTAATGAAATGAAAGGAGGCATGTTTTTTAATGATTGGATGATTTTTAATGATTTATGAGTGGATATTACTTTGAACCATTCATCTCTTGAATCATCTCCAACAAAAACTGTGAGCACTGTGTAATGGACTTGCTCAATTTGATAAATTTTGCCTGTATGGCTGGAGTTGGACAATTTTCTTAACTTCAGAGGGAGCTAAAACAAAATTGTGTTCTTCCATGATGGAAGATGGGAGACTGACTGACCTACTTTTGTTAGAATTGTCAGTGCAAGTGTAGTAGCAAAAAGTCTGTTGTGGTGGAGTCTTTGAGGCCAGGGCCTGGTTCTCTTAGGGTTAAATAATCAAAAACGGTTCTATAAAGATTTAGGCAAAATGTGTATTTTCTTATCTAAGTTCTCAATATTTTTGCCAAGGACTTGAAAATCAACAGGCCTCAAAAGAAATATGATTTTGCAGAAAAATGCCATATAAGAGATTGTAACTCCTTTAATACATAAAGAAACCCAATATCCACAAAAATATTTCCCGTTGCCATAATTTTTTTTTTTTCCTTATCCATAGGCAGGCCCTTTCTTGTGGGGCCCAAGGTAAAATAATACTCACTCCTAATCCATCATTGCTTGAATTAACACAATGACCTCTTAACACAGTTAGATCATTGGTTAGGAAATATGGTTGATTGCCATGACAAGCCACGTCAGAGAGGGCTGTATAGGCACAGAGGACTCTCAGGACTATTCTTTCAAAAGTCTACACTCCAAGCAGACAAATTTTTGGTAGGTAATGGAGGAGATAGTGAGGAGGAGGGTCTAACTGGCTTCCATGGGTTTGCCAGGCTGGATTTTCCTCTTTTATCCCACTTAGTTTAGGATCAACTATGCTTCCATTTTGGGTCCCCGAAGTCAACTCAACTTATATTTTAGAATGGCTATCATATTTAATTGCTAGAATTTTTTGCAACAGACCTTAAGGTGGTCCTGGGAAATGACTACCTTTCCCTACTCATTTCATCATAAAAAAAAAAATTGGTTGGAGATAACTCTTTGATTCTTTATACATAATATAAAGCATAGAATTGCACTTTTGTCTCATATATAATTTTGACCTCGCATCCCCATACGGGCGGCAAAAAGTCGGAAAAGTCATTTTCCCCCTCTTCTGCTCTACATCACACACCCATATTTTTTTCCTGAACAATCCCCCAAAATTAATGTATTAGATCTATCTTAGCCTAAGGCCGTGTAAATTGCTGATTTTTTAATTTCTTTTTTTTCTCTCTCTTTTCTTTCTTTCTTTCTTTTGCGGGGACCTGGTTGACATAGAGTACTATTTTTTTTTTCAGCATTAAAAAATGAATATTTTTTGAATGAGCCCAAAATTTAAAAGTCGGTGATTTACACGGCCTTAGGGCTCCAAGGCTCTAGCAAAAGCAGCAAATTACATTTAAATCGCTTTAAACTTACGAATGTGATGTACCGAAGGTAATGTAAGCAAAGAACAGAGATATGGCGGTTTATATTTTGGTACATTGCCAAAGTTCATTATCTCTGCTATTTTTCTCTAAATCTAATAATGATTATATTATAAAAAAAAAAAGCTTATTTAGTGAACTTTGTGATGCATTGATTACCAAGTAAATCGGAATTATCATTTTCAATAGGGACACTTTCCTATAAAGGTATGTAATTTTTTTATTTGTTTGTTGGATATAGAAAATAAATGCATTTTATCATAAAGACAACTAATCTAAACCAGATAAGAATTTTTTTTTTACTTCAATTTTGAAGAAATGGGGAACTGGATTTTTTGAAGCACTAATTTTGAAGAAATGGGGAACTGTGGATTTTACGAAGCACTAATGTTTGAAAATAGCCTAATAAGTAAGAATTGAAATATTTCCGTTACATTTCGCTTAAAGGACGGTACATCAAGCATGGGTAAATTTGATTTGACTTGAAATTGGTAGTTACCCTTGTAAAGACCAATTCAATACGAATGTTACCTAATGTCGGATTTTTGAACTTCGGATGTATAAGCGAGATACAGATTATTTCATATTGAAGATGATAGTACTCAGTAATACCTCTCTGACGTGGCTTGTCATGGCATGAATACAACATGATGGTTCAATTTTGAGAATTTTAAAAGCATATGAATTTAGTAAAGCACATAAAGTTAAAAAAATGAATCATCCTCATATTTACTGGGCCTACACTGACTTTCACAACTAAAGGAATAAAAATACATTAGTAATCCCTCTCAAACCGTTTTCTTTGATAACTGTCAATATCAACAGATTGCAAAGGGGAACGAGTGTAGAGTTGGTGATTAGCCATTTGCAGCCATTATCTTACTAAGAACATAAAATCATGCAGACGACTTGGGATATTTGCGAATTTATGGTAACTATGACCTATGGTAACGACTAAAAGCAATAGTTTTTATCAGGAACGCACAAAACAGAAGCAATAGCCTTTTCGAAGATTGTGCACTCAACTCAAAATTCCATATGGTTTTTATTTCAGAGCGGGCATTACTGAGTACTATCATCTTCAATATGAAATAATCTGTATCTCGCTTATACATCAGAAGTTCAAAAATCCGACATTTAGGTAACATTCGTATTGAATTGGTCTTTACAAGGGTAACTACCACCATTTCAAGTCAAATCAAATTTACCCATGATGTGATGTACCCGTCCTTTAAGCAAAATGTAAACGGAAATATTTCAATTCTTACTTATTAGGCTATTTTCAAACATTAGTGCTTCGTATGTGGATATACACACAGATTACTTACTCATAACCTACACATATATTAACCTCTATCAAAGCATATTTCGTTTGTAAACGGACACAAAACACTTTTTTAGATGTATTTCACAAAATATTTTGTGATAAATCACGGTGATATAATTTTTTTGATATTGGTATAAAATTGTTCCTTGAACATTCAAGAACTCATATCTATGTGCAATGTCATAATCAAATGCCATATGCATAATTGCAGCAAGCAGAAGTCCACATAGGTGTACCAGGGCTCTCATTAATGATGCACTTGCCCTATACTATACGCAAGCTAAATCAATTTGACCCCTGTCCCCCCCCTCATCTGGGACAGTCCCCATAATAATATAATATAAATTTTTTAAAGCTGAAAAAAAAAAAAAAATAGATCTAAAATAAGTATTTGAGGGGATTAATCAGGAAAAAAAACTGTAGGAGTTGGGATTTACCAAAGATGATGATGAAGAAAAAAGAAAAAAAAAAAAAAAAAAAAAACTTTTTGGGTTTTAACCTCACTCCCCCTTATGGGGGAGCAAGGTTAAAACCGTAAATGAGATGAAGCACAATTCTATATTCTATATCATGCAAAAGAATCAATGCGTTATCTCCAACCGAATTTTTTTTACGATGAAAATGAGCAGGGAAAGGTGGTCATTCCCCGGGATGGTCCCCTTAAGCAACCAGGAAAATATCTTTATTACTTTGAGCTTCCAGGAAAATCTCTCCTCTCATTATGAGATACTTACCCTTAAGCATACTTAGCTTGACTTGAGCTTCTGATGCCAATTTGTTTGCTCTCTTTCGAAGTTCTTCTGCCCTTCGTCTGGCTTCTTCAGCTGCTTGGAACTTAATCTGTAGCTTTTCCTCTACAATCAAGTATTTCTGAAAACATAAAAATTACCATTTTTTACAATACTTATTTATCAGAATGCAAAATTAGACTTCCCTTAAGTTGCATGCCCACAAAATAAAGGATATTATTACAAAATACTACATGAACACTCATTCTAACATAATTCACATTATCATATATCTTCTAGAAAATTCCTGTCACTTTCAAAATTCCCAAATAATTTTCATGTATAGTAGTACTGTCTGCCTTACATCTTCCAGCTGTTTAGCATCATTGGCTGCTCGCTGTGCTTTGAGATCCGCCTGGTTGACAGCAGCAGTTGTATCTTCGAGATGTTGTTGATTGATGATATACTGCAACTTTACACTCTCAACTCTCCTTTCCAGGTCCTGTACCTCCCTTAGTGAGGAATTGGCTTTGCCTGAGCTACACTGGTCTCACTAGCAATCTGGAATGAAATACTTTGCTTTATAAGTGTTTTCAAAACTTACAAATTAAAATTTAATTAAAATATAGTCCTACATGAAAGATCTATGACAACTACTACTCCCTCATATTACGAGACCTGCTTGAAACCTACCTGGGTAAGATGAGTCTGGGTGGCCTCAATGTCATCACTAGCCTGCACAATAGCTTGTTCTGCAGCATCCTGTGCTGCACTTGCTTCAGTGAGGGCTTCTACAACACGCTCTGCTACACCCAGAGTTCCTTCAGCCTTAATCTTGGCTCTGTCAGCTCTTTCTGATGTTAACATTTAAAAATGACTAATATTAGAAGAGATAAATAATAATCTATATCTATATACTTAGGAATAGAAAATAATCTTCCATGACAGAAACTACAGCAGAAAAACAGATAGGCAATTACAAAAGCTTAGCTACTATAATCTGGGTACACATCATTACACTATCTATAATGGAATATACTCAGGAGTACCTTTCAACTGTATTGCGAGGTCTAGATCATTCCTAGTTGCATCAATAATTGCATTAATATTTGTTAGAGTCTCAATGGCAAGTGTGATCTTCTCTGCTAGGTCTGTAATCTGTTCTGGTTCCAGGGAGATAACGATGCTCAAGACCTGTTGAATAAATGCAACTGATGAAAAATAAAACTTCAATAATACCTTTCGAGTTTAGGCCATGCTTTCTTGCTAACCTATGCTGATTCATAAGAAAGTATAGTTAATCACAAGACAAATATTCATACACACCTCTTCAGCTAGATCCCTAATTTCTTGGGGTTTGGCACCAGGTGTGCTAAAGTATTCTTCTATTTCTTCTAAGAGCTTAGTAATTCTTGCTTTGTATGAATCTGTTAAGTTGCGGGAGCTGAAGGCCAGGTCATAGGCCATTTGAGCCAAGTCTGAGGCTACATCAGACTGCCTTTTAGCCCCAGAAATGCCTCGTAATAGCTCATCAACTGAAGCCTCCTTCTTCTTCAGCATTTCCTTGGCATCATCTGCAAACTTGAGGGCAAGCTCAGCGGTGTTTACGAGACCATTATTACAGGAGAGCCCTCCGCACTTTCCACATCCAGCTCCACCACAATAAGTATCACAAGGATCACCCTTCGGTCACACCTACATACAAAAGATAAAGTAAGAACAAACAAGGATTGTCTATTATCACACTCCTATAAAAGCCCTCATTTACTAAATAATACTGTTTTGTTTCACTGTCAAAATGCTAGGGTCCACTCCTACTATAGCACAATATACTTACTTGATTCTTCAAAAATCCTTTTAAAGTGTAAATAATGTTCAAACATGACTTCATATACGCTACCCTGCTCATTAAGATCAGGGATGCCCCGATACATTTCATCCAACATATCTGTCATTTCTGCTAAATCCTCTGCATTTTAATCTGCGTGCGGTTGAAACGATCTAAAGCATGCAGAAGAAGATTTTCAGTCCTGCGGCGAGAGCGTCTTGACTCCCAACAATGACTTGAGTAAGCTCAACCTTCTCTTGGCAACTCGTGATCTTTCTCCAGCCACCCTGGTGAGGTTGAGAGCACCTGTGGAGACAATAGGAGCTTTCTATTATCTAGCTTTGAGGGTAATTTGCTACATAACTATTTTAACTGTGGGTACTAAGAGACACAAAGAAACAGAACTAAAGCTAATCTTACACTGTCAGTTTACTTCCTTTCATTACCATCCACCTTTCCCTCAAATAAAACTGTAAGGCCAAAAAAGAACGAATTGATGAATACTGTGAACACAGATACATAAGAAGAAGAAAAGAAAAGACATGCCATCCATGATACTGAACCTATTATTGCCCACAGATCCCATATTACCCTTTCCCCTAACACCCTCACATACGAAGCTTCAACATTAGCTTCTTGCAACTTGGTAGCTTTTTCTTTAAGGTCTCCTGCTTGATTCTTCAGTTCCTCTGCTTGCAATCGAAGATCTGCCAGGGCATTTGTAGCCAAAGAAATGCGCTGTGTAGTGTTATCCACACCATGCTCCAGGTTGAAGTTCTGATGCAGCTACAGTTAGGTTGTCTCTGGAACGGATATTATGTATAAAATTAATGTTGTTTTCTTAGCTTGAAAAGCAGTAAAACTGAACTTACCTCTACATACACAACAAACTATTCATAAGACTTTTTCAACATATAATACTGCATATGCTCTTATTCCTTTCAAAACCTGTACACGTATTTTTCACTTACGTTAACTCAGAAATGAGGCTTGAGAGTGAAGCAAGATTCTGTGATGTTAGATTGGCAGTTAGCAAAATGTT